AACAGCACAGCAAATTGAGAAGTGTAATAATTAAAAAATAAGTTTTGGTTTAAGTGAAATTTGAGTAACAGCAAAGTTAATTAGACTGTGATAAAGTCAAATCCATTATATGTGACTCTCAGTTGATAAGTAGTTGGTGTCAAAACAGTGTAAAAACAAAGTGTCACTAAATCAAACCTGTAAGTATAATTGTATAAATATTAACTCTGAACTTATTACTCTTAACTCATATGTCATCCCGCCCCCCCTGCGCATGCCTACACACACACCCGTTGGCTGAAGCCAGGAGAGTCTTAATGAAAGCACTCCACTGACTGCTGGGAAACTAGGGACTGTGGTTTTGACCTGGGTCTAAACTTTATCACAGTTTGATGAGTAAATGAAGCAGTATCTGTTAATGTTATATTTTATATTGATATTGCTTTACTGGCACTTGGTCGTTTTGCAGTGGTGAGCCACCATAATTTAAACTCATGTCGCCACATTGTTACTAGCCACCCTCGACTCGTTGACTAACCTCCAAACTCCGTTTGTCGTTGGGAGTAGTGGAAGTTAATTCAAACCGAGATACGGTTTTAAAAGAAACTTGATCGTTTTTCTTAATCAAAAGTTGCGCTAATTAAACAATCTAATAACTTTGAACAAAAAAAACCAAATAATTCACCGAAGGCTCGCGAGACCTCGTGAATGCAATTAACTATTAAACAAAAGAAAAGGGAGGTCAGAGATCCAGTTTGGGGCCTTTCGTTTATGGCCTCTGTCCACTCAGAGGTTCTAACAGCCTAGTTCAGAAAGAGTTTACATATGTGGACACAGGGCTTAAAGCAAGAAATTTTTCTGTGCCTGTTTAGAGTTTATGACAAATATAGAGGTTAGGGGGCAAGAGCGTAACTTTGTGTTGAAAAATGATGGGGACATAGGGGCTCAGATTAGGGCTGTGACGTACACTTAGCTCAGGAAACATTAGGAAAGACGATACTGAGTTCACAAGAACAAGACGAGAAGATAATTGTACACTGTTTTGATAAAATGTTCAATGTGGACCCTAACCCTAACAAAATCTGAGGTAAAACATTCAAAACAATTATGATTAAGTAAAATCTTCTTTTCAATCCTTTTTCCTCAACAAAATAAATATCTTAATAGCGAAAATAAGTGCTGATTTGTTCGTGATTCAAATTAATTAAATCAAACATTAGTTATTTTGTTACTGAGCAAAGTTATATCACGGTAATTATCATTATTGTTTTATTGCCCAGTCCTGCTGGTACTCCCCATTCACATGGGGAGTGTGTTTCGGCTGGTACTATGGCTACATTGTTTCATTATAATTTAAGATAAAAGTATACTATAAAGCTTACCACTAGTGTAATATTAATTCCAGTTGGACAGCAGTTTGATTTCTGTGGGTTTACATTTATTAAATTCTTGTGTAAGAAAAAAGATCTACATTCAATTCAATTCAATTCAATTTTATTTATATAGCGCCAAATCACAACAACAGTTATCTCACAGCGCTTTTCATAAAAGAGCAGGTCTAGACCGTACTCTGTGATGATATTTACAGAAGCCCAACAGTTCCCACCAAGAGCAAGCACTAGGCGACAGAGGCAAGGAAAAACTTCCTTTTAAGAGGCAGAAACCTCGAGCAGAACCATGGCTCAGGGTGGGCGGCCATCTGCCTCGACCGGTTGGGGTGAGAGAGAGAGAGAGAGAGAAAGAGAGAGAGAAAGAGAGTGAAAGAGAGAGAGAGAGAGAAAGAGAGAGAGAGAGAGAGAGAGAGAGGGATGTAAGGAGAGAGAGAGGGGAGGGAGGCAGCCTACACAATATACACACAGAGGTACAGACAGCGAAGGTAATGTTGCTATAAACTAAATGAAAAATGGTACAGATATTTATAATAGTGTTAATGGAAACCATCGTAATGTTAATGATTATAATAACAATAAGACTAGCAACAATAGTCGTTGCAGTAGAGGGTGTCGAGCAGGAACACGGGAGCAGCAGGCGACCCGCAGCCACAGATCCAGACTCCACAGCTCCAGAGCCAGAAAACCTGCAGGAAGTGATAGGAGGAGAGAGGAGAGGGACGAGAAAGCACAAGACTACCAGAAAGGGGAGAAGTTGTGTTAGTAACATGCAATAATGGGATAAGGTTGCATACAGAGGGAGAGAAAGTAGAGGAGAGAGGAGCTCAGTGCATCATGGGAAATCCCCCGGCAGTCTAGGCCTATAGCAGCATAACTAAGGGATGGTTCAGGACTACCTGAGCCAGCCCTAACTATAAGCTTTATCAAAGAGGAAAGTCTTAAGCCTACTCTTAAATGTGGAGATGGTGTCTGCCTCCTGAACCCAAACTGGAACCTGGTTCCACAGGAGAGGAGCTTGATAGCTGAACGCTCTGGCTCCTAGTCTACTTTTGGAGACTCTAGGAACCACAAGTAACCCTGCATTCTGGGAGCGCAGTGCTCTGGTGGGGTAGTAAGGTACTATGAGCTCTTTAAGATAAGATGGTTCCTGACCATTAAGAGCTTTGTAGGTAAGAAGAATGATTTTAAATTCTATTCTGGATTTTACTGGAAGCCAATGCAAAGAAGCTAAAACAGGAGAAATGTGATCTCTTTTCCTGGTTCCTGTCAGAACACGTGCTGCAGCATTCTGGATCAGCTGAAGAGTCTTAATGGACTTTTTCGAGCAGCCTGATAATAAGGAATTGCAGTAATCCAGCCTAGAAGTAACAAATGCATGGACTAGTTTTTCTGCATCATTTTTAGACAGGATGTTCCTGATTTTCGCAATATTACGTAGGTGAAAAAAGGCGGTCCTTGAAATTTGCTTAATGTGGGACTTAAACGACATGTCCTGATCAAAGATAATTTGATCATGGTGCTTAGCCTCTAATTAGTCAATGCTAAGTACTAACATGTCAATAATCATTCATGCAGAACAACAAGTTCAACATTTTAAACATTTGCTGTAGTGCATCAAACGTTTTTAATGTCCCACCCCATCCAGGCTGTGATTGGTCAGTTCACGAAAGGTTACTGTGACAGCAACTTTCTGCACAGGGCTGCATGAAAGGCACCCGAGCTTCTACCTATCCTGTCTCACCCGACAGAGATTAGCAGACACATAGAGCCCACTGGTTCACAAGAAAAGTCCCACGACGCCCATTTCAAGCATTGCCTATTATCAAAATTTACACCATCTGTGAAGCCATACTCCACCGGTGGATTACATTCTGACAATAATGCCCTTGTTACGTTGGCAAAAGTCCAGACAATCCAACCCAGTAAAATATTTAGTCCAAAAAGCATTATTATATCAATAAATACACATCGACTGCCGTTACGTTGCACACATATATCCCACGACACTAAAAATACGCAAGAATATTTTCCACAGACATATTTATATATTGTCAAATTTAAAACGCCATTTCCAGCACAGCGCCAGAGAACTTTAAGCCCTGTGGACAAGAAGTGTTAAAGTTTAACTCCAAAAGAGTAAAAAATTACACTAAATTAGTGTTATGGTACCAACACAAAAATTGAAACTCTGTGGTGTGGACCCATACAGACATTTTAAAGGTGTTAAAATCAACTCTGACAGTGTTAATTTGGATAAGCTGATTTTACGGTCATTCAGTATAAATATTCAAATTCTATGTATGTATGTATGTATATTTTTCTGTTTTGCATGGTGCTTTACACCTGACAGCGGAGGAGCAGCACAGCTAAGATTTATTTGGTTGACAAGTAGCAACTCAAGGACACCCGTGTGATTAATAATTTGGAAGGCATTCAAAATATGGAGGAAAGAGAGTTAATCACCCTCTACTGACAAGCGTTAATGTGAAAAGTCAGCCGGATAAACAAATACAGAGGATTTACACTCATCTGAGCATCATAAACAAGCATATTCATCTCATTAATAGTAATTTGATTTCACTGCGTACAGGTGAAAGCCTCTTAGCTGTAGTTTGGTGTTATTGGCTTGACCTTTGAAAGGTGTTAGAATCACAAACATGTGTGTCATTGTGGTAATAAGGCTTGTTGTCTACCCTTGCGATGCCTACATTTCTGTTAGGAGACATTATACATTAATTCTCAGTACATGGGATATTCATGTGGATCAGAGGGTTCCTGATTGTGCTGCTGCCTGAGAATACAATGTACCATATCTGTCTGCAACAGGATAAATGTATTATTACAATAGTGAGTTAGAGAGCGAAATTCATATCAATCAGGTTGACTCTGTTACCAGTTTGATCTCAGTTTGTGCTGGCAGTAGTTTTTATTTCAGATCTAGTCATGATCAATGTCAGCATGCTCACTGCTTTCTGCTGGCACAGAACTGGGACAGATTATTTTGTTGTGCAGTTTACACCAGAACATTTCCTTTTGGCATTCAAACATGCTAACATTCACATATTGGTGACAGAAATTCCTAACTGTATTTTTACTTTAAAGAGAAGATTTCTACAACATTGTCCGACTTATGATGGGCAGTTTAAAGAAAAAAATCTAAATCAATGCAGCAGAGCCAGAGATATCTCACATTCTCCCTCCTTGTTAAAACCCCTCTCACCTTTTAAAGTCTCTGACGTACGCCATACAAAGCGACAGACAGACATCTTTATTTAGTAAAGTCACTATCCATGAGCAAAAGTAATATATGAACATCAAATTTGAATGGAATATAATGATGAACAATATGCTTGACTACTAAAAATAGCTTTTTTGTGTGTTTTTGTGTGTATAATGACGGCACACTTGATTCAAGTTCATAACAAATTTAATAACAAATTGGATAAAGCTATCAAAACTTAAATTAAAAATATTTCCAGGCGACAAGAGCTGACACCACACAAATTTTTTAGAATGTCTTTAATTATTTAATGGCCGGGTCCGTTTGTTTTGGAGAAGAGATGACCTTGGTGGTAATTCGGTTCTGTCAGGAGTTATGCTAGAACCCAGATGTAGACACGGAAACAAAGCAGCAGTTAAACAGTTTATTGACTGAGGCAGGGTGAGCAAACTAGGCAGGGTGAGGTGGCAGGGAGTCTCTTTCCAAGCAGTGGAGCGTGATGGGTGGCTGGCTGGCGTGTGGCTGGAAAGTTTGGATCTCGGCTTTGAGGGACTTGGAACTAGCAGGCAGGCAGAGCAGGTAGAGCCGGTGATCTGGAGACAGGCAGAGAGAAATTAGTAAAAGCAAACCGGTTGCTAGATTAACAGGCTAGATGCTAAGGTAAGACCTACAGTACACGACTTAACAATCTGGCAGGGAATGGAAGTCTGGTCTCTCCTTAAGAGGTAGGAATGGCTGATCGGGAACAGGTCTGTGATTACCAGCAGGTGCAGCAAGTGCCAACTCAGGAACCCAGACACGCTCAGGATTCAAAAAACTGAGAGAAGAAAAAACAGAACAAAAACACACCAAGCATGCTTCACTCACCCAAAGGAAAAAAAACAAATCAAAACACACTCACTCAGTCCCAAATTCAGGTGAGAGATGCAGGGTTCATGACAGGTTCCTGGTAGAAACCTCCAAAACGGTAAAGGCTGATAAAAAAAAAAACCTACACTAAAAACCAACCACTTAGCATCTGAACTGAGCTAATGTTGGCAGCAGCAGTTCAGCTCGCAGCACTCACACCCTGTGTACGTCCGATCATCAAAAGAACATGATTTAACATGCTTTATTACCTGATGTGATCAGCCTGAGAGGAACCTCCTTAATGATGAAACCTTGAATGATTAAAACTTAAAACAATAACTTCGGACCCAGTATTTAGCTTAACTCCATCAGATGCTGCAAATGTCATAGAGTCAGTGGTGGAAAAGAGATGAGCAGGAGTTGCAAAGTAGATTCAAACACCCGAAATGCTCGACTTAAAGCAAGTAGCCTCTACTCTACCATTAAGAAATGCACTACAAGGCCCCCCAAAAGTTCAGTTACTTTGGGAAAGTACTACCCCCAGGGACTTTTTGTAGGCGGGTAAAATAAATGGAATGGTTATAGTGGGACAGAGAGGCTGGCAGGACTGGTTATAGTGGGACAGAGAGGCTGGCAGGACTGGTTATAGTGGGACAGAGAGGCTGGCAGGACTGGTTATAGTGGGACAGAGGCTGTGTGGACTGGTTCCAGTGGACCAGAGAGGTCGGGTGGACTTGTAGCGGTACAGAGAGGCCAAGTGGACTGGTTAAAGTAGGACAGAGAGGCAGAGTGGACTGGTTATATTGTCCACAAAGGATCCTGACAAAGGTGCCTGGGGAATCCAGGTGCTAGAGGAGGAAGTGCAGCAGGCATGCCACAGCGTCCTCTGTACGTCCTCCTCTAAAGAGGTTCTTCTGGGTCTGGTTAGAGTTTAACAAGATACTCCGTGCTGTGAAATTGTGAAGTCCTTATGAATTGTGTGAAGGAACGGCGCTGTCCAGAGTGCTGAAAGGGAGCGGACACCAATTCATAGTTGGTTGTCTTTGCCTGCTTGCTTTTCAGTATAACTGACAGCGCTTTTCCACCTAATTTAGCAGTGTGTGAGAGAGAGAAAGAAAGATTTTTAATTAAACACACACACATGTTTACTGTTTTACTTCTTTATTTTATTTATTTGATGGTTTTATTATAATTTTATTTTAATTTATCTATCTTTATTTAAACATGCACACGCACACACACACACACACACACACACACACACATTTACTGTTTTATTTTACAGAATGATTTATCTATTTTTATTTAAACACACACATGTGTTTACTATTTTATTTATTTATCTAACTAATTGAATTGTTTTTTTGTATTTTCCTTAAAGCTTTGGCAACACTGTTCTATTAACATTCATGCCAATAAAGCAAATTTAAATTGAATTATATTGAAATTGAGTGAGAGAGAGAGAGCTGTTTCTACTCGCCTCACCTGCTGATTTTAACCGAATGCTCTGATTAATGCTAGCCTACACACAGAACTTAACCCCTTGACGCCTGAATTTTTTTTACAATGAAAAAATATATTTGTGTTTTCATTTGCTTTCAGGCTGATGTTAAATTAAGTGAAGATTGTTAATTTGTCTATAGAACATAGAAAAGATATAAATTCAGGTATGATGTAGGTATGATGCAAATTAGCGACAACAGGCATAAACGAGAAACCAGGTCTTGCAAAGGGTTCCTAGGTACGTATCGAATATGCACAAACAGGCATTGGGATAATACATGCGCTATCTTGGCTGCAGTCTGAAAGGAAGAGGTGATGCAAATTCCGTCAAGGGGTTAATAACTGTTGCCAACACCTTAGAGAGGAGCTTATAATCTGAGCAGAGCGGTGAAACCGGTCTCCAGTTTTTGATAAACTGCAGGTCACCTTTCTTAGGCAGCAGGGTAAAGACCGCCCTTCTGCAGCTCAGTGGCAGACGCCCTCTGGTGAGACTGTCACTCAATACTGCGAGCAGATCCACACCCACCACTGACCAGAAAGACTTAGTAAAGTCAACAGGTAGACCATTTATTCCGGGAGCTTTCCCACTCTGCATGATCTGCAGAGCAGAATAGAGTTCACCGCTGCCCACCCTGAGCCATGGTTCTGCTCGAGGTTTCTGCCTCTTAAAAGGAAGTCTTTCTTTGCCTCTGTCGCCTAGTGCTTGCTCTTGGTGGGAACTGTTGGGCTTCTGTAAATATCATCACAGAGTACGGTCTAGACCTGCTCTTTTATGAAAAGCGCTGTGAGATAACTGTTGTTGAGATTTGGGGCTATATAAATAAAATTGAATTGAAGTTCATCAGAGGAAAGAGTTGCTTCCAACTCTATATTTCACTGCTGCTCGACCTGAGGAAGACCAGTGTAGAAGCTCTGGGACACTGCCTGCTCCTCTCTGTGCTCACATTTAAGCAAGTTTATGACAAGCGGTCAGTAATTTCACAGCAATGCCTTTCAGCTGTCCTGTCAGTCTAATCAAAGATTATAGCGCCAACTATCTGTAATCTTTGGTTTTCTTTGTAAACATCACTCAGTACTATGAGGTGCCCATAGGGACATTATTCAGAATTACCATGCATATACATGTACTTTTCCTCTCACATACACATATGAAACCAAATTCATTCACATCCCAGTTCAGTCTGTTTCCCCCCGTTATGTTTGTAGTCTATCTGTATGATTAGTTTTTAGTCTGTTCTGTGTTCCTGTACGTTTCTTTTCTTATGTCAGTTGCCTGTGCCTTGGGTTCAGTTGTCTGCTTGTTTCAGTTCTCTTCCTGTTTGGATCTGTGCCGACCTAAGTCCTTGTCTTATTCTGTTATCTGGTGTTTGCCATTATGTCAGCAACAGAGATAGATAAAAAAAAGACAATAAATGAAGAGAAAATATATATATATATATATATATATATATATATATATACACACACACACACACACACACACACACACACAAATGTATACATACACACATATAAATACACATACACGGAATTGCCATCCATCTATTCTTAGCAGGAAAATGTCCCCTCATCACTAGCCAAGTCAAATCCTCAGGTAGGTAGTTAAGCAGAGGAGCCCACATGTCTCTGAAAGACCCTCATTACCTTTCGCAGCTGCAGAGTCTTTCATGGGGGAGGGTCCTGAATATTTGCCTATACCATAATGTGACACTAGGTGGTTTATTGTTGATCCAATTAATTAAAATACATTTTCTAGCCAATAATAGTAATTTATCGCATAATTTGAACTGTAAATGGGTTATAGTCACCTCCCTTGAGAGGAGGCCGAGAATGAAAAGGCCTAGGTCCCTCTTAATTTTTGCATGGAATATGCCACTTAGTTCCTGTGAGATCATACTCCATAATCTTTTTATCAGTTTACATTGCCAGAAGTAATGATAATATGTTACAACATCTCTATGACACCTTTTACACAAAGGTGAAAGCTGACGGTCCATCTCATTTAGTATGTAAGGAGTTATGTGTAGACGGTGTCGTATTTTATACTGTGTCTCTTTCAGTCTATTACATGTAAAGGTGGATTTAAATACTTAAATACAATGGCCTTCTGCCAGTCATCCTCAATATACTTCTGTGCAATGCTTATAATACCACCTGGACTAAGAGAGTATAGCAGTGGATAGAAGGAAGAGATAAAGCAGTACATCACTGTACATGACTTCGATCCAATGAAGAGCCTGACCTGGAGAAAACCATAATGGTGTTTCGTTGGGTATCCAAAATTTGGACTGCAGTTGTTTGAAAGTCATTAATATCCTGTCGTGGTACAAATCTCCAATCACAAGTGCCCCATTGCCATGCCACATGTCAAAAATGTTGGGATGAAGACACAGGGGGAAATCCAGGTTCTTCGTTATAATGGTTAAGAACAAGGCATCGCTTCCTCTCCCTAGGTATTTACAGATTTCCTGTACCTAGCTGCAGTATTTTCATTTTCAGTCTGGGTCTTTTGCAGTGCCATATGAATCTAGAGAACACTCTTTCTATATCAAGAGCAAACTTCTTGGAGATCCACAAGGGCATCATTTGTAAAAGATATAATAACCTGGGGAATACATTAATTTTGATTAAGCTGACGCGCCCCATAAGAGATAGAGGGAGATTGTGCCATCTATCTAAGTCCTTCTTTATTTTAGTTGCTATTGGAGAGAAGTTGAGCTTCCATAGCTAAATCACGTTTGTTGAAACTTTTATCCCAAGGTAGGTGAAACCTGTGGGAGACAGTTTAAAGGGACAATTGGTAGATGAAGACGGGCCACCCAATGGCATGGCCTCCGACTTGCCATAGTTGATCTTGTAGCCTGTAAAGGAGCCAAACTCTTGAATAATAGTGAGGATAGTTGGTATTGATATGTCAGGTTTTGTCTGAAACAACAGGATGTCATCGGCATAAAGTGCTATCTTATGAACTGTTCTTCCGATCGTAATCCAATTCACATCTTTGTGTTGCCTAATTGCCTCGGCCAGGGGCTCAAGCGCCAGCGCAAAGAGCAGCGGAGACAGGGGACAGTCCTGTCTCGTCCCCCTACGCAGCAAGGAAGGCGATGACTGTATGCCATTAGTTACAACACAGGTCTGTGGAGAGTTGTAGAGTATCCTAATCCTTTTGAGAAATTCCCCTCCCAGCCCAAACCTCTCCAGTGCATCAAATAAATATTCCTACTCTACCGTATCAAACGCCTTTTCGGTGTCTAAAGATACAGCAAGTCCTTTATAATTTGTCTGACTTGAGTACTGCATTGTGTTCAACAGTCTCCTCACATTTGTGAGGGAGAGCCTGTTCTGTATTAATCCAGTCTGGTCTGGATTTATGAAAGATGGCAGGAACTTTTCCAGTCTTGTTGCTAGCAGTTTTGATAACAATTTACTATCCACACCAATAAGGCTAATGGATCTATATGAGCCACAGATATCAGGTGGTTTCTTAAGGATTAGTGTGATGTTGGCTAGATTAAGTATTGCGGGGAGGTGACTGACCATCAGTAAGCAGCCCGGCTACCGGGTGACTCAGTATCTTGTAAAATTCTGGGCAGAACCCATCAGGTCCTGGTGCTTTTCCACCCCTGAGGGAGGCTATAGCCGCACGGACCTCCTCCTCAGTCACTGGTACATTTATTTTTACCTTCTGTTCCCCCGACAGGGATGGGAGCGCTCCCAGCTAGGCGTTTTCAGAAGAGCAGGTGACATATTCAGCTGGCAAAAAACGCTTTGGGGGACACAGGCCCTAAGTTCTACTTCCAGCTGTTGTATTGCACTCTCTAAGCTGAGTTGTTCTTTCATTGCAGCCCTTATCTAAGCTGTGGTGTACGAAATAATACTCCCCCTGAGATAAGCTTTAGCTGTTTTCCACAGCAGAGAAGGGCTGATGTCTGGGGTCTTATTTGCAGCAATAAAAACATTCCACGGTTTGGTAATATAGTCAATAAATGGTGGGCTACTCAACAGAGAGGGGATCCTCCAGCGGCGAGAGGAGGGATCAGTGTAAGGAGGGCGGATGCTCAAGCCTACATGAGAGTGGTCAGAGAGTGAGCATATGCCAATTGAGCACTCCCCCACCCTATCTAAAACCCCTCTGGACATCCCTTAACATTAAGGGAGACTATTTTAAGTCTAAGTAAAATAATAAAAAGTAAAATAAAATAAAATACACTTTTGTGTGAACTAGTGGGAAGTTTTATGGCACAGCAGAGGGACTCAACGTTTCTACCACAGACAGATGGATAAATAGACAGCTCTGTGAGATATAGTATGGAAGGTTTCAGAGATATGATGGCATAAAGACACGAAAATGACAGAACATCACGAACAAAGTATTCAACCCCAAACGATAAAGACCCAACAAATGCCCAAAAGCAGTAACCCCAAAAAACCCTTCATACGCGACCTCCCCACCTCCCCATACCCCAATGTAGGCCAGCAGTGTGGCCCGTTGAAAAACCAGTGAGGCACGTGGAACCGAGCAAAAACATCACTGAAAGAGAGAGAGTGAAAAAGAAAGGGGAAACAAAAAAAACCTCTCCATTCCCCCCGCTCGCCACAAGCAGAAATGATCACATCTGAACTAAACATAGATATTTTAACAACCTGCTCAACATGATCAATTATTAGCCTTTGTTATAGCGTACTAAAGCGGCATGAGAAGAAAAAGAAAGGTAATTAAAAAAATTAAATAAGAATTAGCTGTTCCACACAGAGAGTCTAACTAGCATTATACATACCTTTGCACAAGTTATCAGAGGGGTTGCAGTGTCTGCAAACAGTGAGGCATCGCGTGTTATTAAAATGTCACATCACCTCAGTCCGTCCAAGAAGGCGAGTGCATCCTTCGGTGAGTGAAAAGAGTAACTTTGTTGGCCGTTAAACGCACGTCTCATTTCCTTGACTCCGCTTGCCAGATCCTGTCGGATGAATACGGTCTGTCCCTCATGTGTCAGAGGTCCTTTCTCCTTGGCCACGGCGAGGATCCTCATCTTGCAGGTTTAGAGGCTTTAGTGTTAGGCATGTTGTCTGGATATTGTTTAGCAAACTTTTAAGGTTGTAACTTTCCTTTAAAATTAAGTAAATAGTCAGGTATAGCTCGGTAGCAGCCGGAGCCCAGCAACGGTCGACTGCTCAGTGTGACAGAATCACGTGACCCCCATGCTCAGTTTCTGTCTGCCTGTCAAGTGTTAGATCTGTTCCCCCAGTTATCCCTCTGCCTGCCAGTCTCTCTGTTTTCCCTGCTGTCTCTCTGGCTGCCTGCCTCGTTATCCTTGATCCCTGTCACCTGTGTTGCTCCTGCCCTGCTCGTTAGTCCCTGGTGTACATGTTTGGTTTTTCTGTTCAGTCCCTGTCCGGTCATTGTAGCATGTTTATGCTCTGTCGTGTTTGGAGTGTTCTGCCTGTCTCTGTGTTGCCTGATCATCTCTTTGGAGGTTTTACAGCCAAACTGCATGTAAGCCAGTGCTCCTTCAGTCAACTCTCCAGTGTCTTGCGTTTGGGCTCTCTCCTGTTTGCACTTCATCTAAATCCTCAAGATCCATGACATGCTGTATGCAAGCATTTCAGTTGAAATGGAAGTTGGTTAAAGTCCAGACTTTGCTGTTGTTAACATTAATTTTGCTGCTCTATAAACAAGAGTTAGATATATTTAGAATATTCAATATTAACCCTGTAACTTATTTAAAAACAACTAGGCAGCCAATATTTTTTATATAATATTTTTTTAATCATGGCAAGTGATATCTCAATATATAACAATGTTATGGCAGATTTTCCTCACATCGTACAGGCCTACCTCACGCCCTTGTTCGCTTCATTTCTTATTCGATCAGTTGGTTGTTTGCTGGGATGGTTGAACACGCAAAGTGGTCAAAGGCTTGGCTTGGCTTGGCTACATTTCACTAAAGCCAGAGACAGGGCTAGCAGTTAAAATTTACAGACTAATGAACAGTACTACAGGCTGGTTGTGAACGCTGTTTTGAAGTCAGTACATCAGCAGTAACTGTCTGTTGTGTTAATGCTAATAAGTTAAATATTACACACACACACATACACATCATGATGTAGTACAGTTGTTCTGAAGAGATGCCCTGGCCTACAAATCTTGTTCTCGAGATTTAGGAAGTCATGTTTGTTTCTTTCATAGTGATATATTTGATAGTTTCTTAAGGGACATTTAAATTTGAAATTCTAAAATAATAAATTTTGAGTTATATGGCAATATCATGTTTTTACCACTAATTTGTCATGACCAGATTAGTTTCATGGTCAAAAGGTATCACCGAGTGTGTTTCGGGGTACACCATTTGGTTCTCTTGAACATTTCATCTGGGATGACTCCCTGTTTGTGTTTTTTCCCTAAGCTTTCATGGAGTTCTCCCTCCCAGCTGACAGCGGAGGCATCAGAGTTTATGATGAGACGGGAACTGAGGTGGATGCAGATGTCTTTGAAGAAGTAGAACAGCAACTCAACGCTGATGTATTGACTATCAAATCTGACAATCGTAAACTTGATTCCCATTTCTTCGTTAGCATAGTACATGGATTATTACTAAGACCCAGTTACACTACAACAAATGGTGTTTATTTCTTCTCTCCACCCTCTCTCTCCTGAACTACACTTAGATTCCAAGGGGACAACCTCTTCGAGCTCTTCCCAGTCCACCAGGCCACTGCTTGATGTCGTAACCAACTCAGCACTGTATGTTTCAGCTTGTGGCTCAGATGACACAGTAATCCCGGATGAGGAATTAAGCGCTTTCAGAAAATGACAGAACATGTAAGTTGATGTGTAAAGGATGCCGGAGTAAAATATTATTATTATTATGTCAGAGGCGGATGTGATACAGGTACACATGTACACAGTGAGATGGAGCATAGTGCAAAGGATGTAGACAGTATGAACAGCACTGAAATAGAGAGTGGTGAATAAATAAGTGGTAAGCAGTAAGCGGGCTGATTGGAGAAAGAGTTACTGGATTATTGCACAGGAATGGTTCCTGACACCGAGAGTCAGAAATCAGATGTTTCCTGACTCTGGAAATGTAAAAGTCCTGTAAGGAGTACAGGTGTGCACAATTATCTTTTTTGCAGTCCTGACTGTCCGTTGTAGTCTGCTCCTTTTTGGTCGCAGATCCAAATCAGACAGTGATGGATGTGCAGAGAACAGACTGGATGGTGACTGTGTAAAAGTGGATCAGCCGCTCCTTAGGCAGGCTGAGCTTCCTGATTTAAATTAATAAATTTAAATTAATAAATAAATAAAATGTATCTATCCCCGCGACCCTGTACGCAGGATAAGCGGTTGACGATGGATGGATGGATGTATGGAAATGTATGGAAATGTATCTATTTTTATGTCAGTTTTTGTCCTTCATACCTTAAGGCCTTAAACATATTACACATAAAAGTCCATAAAATACTAAATACAGAATTAGCCTATAACAAGAATACTGTGAAGATAATTACAAATGTACTCAATATGTGTCAAGCATGCCCTATATCTATTTTGTATTTTATGGACTATTTTATGTGTAATATGAATACTATGTAAAGGTACAACTGCATATCAGGTGCACTCATTGTTTTTTTTTAAATGAAGCAAGGAGAGAAGGGTATTAATCCAAGAAAGAAGTCTTCAGTTTCAAGATTAAAGTGGTAACTTTACGGTGGCAAATAACAGATCTAAATTCTAAAAACATATCTTACATTTATGAGAAAATAGTGTTTTTTTGTCAATGAACAACATCGCTTCATTTTGCAAGGCTGCAACATCACACTGCAGACGCCGCTGCGGTGTATTGTGCCTGCATTGAAAAATTATATCATAGCTTAAATTATATCATAGTACCTTACTACCCCACCAGAGCACTGCGCTCTCAGAATACAGGGTTACTCGTGGTTCCTAGAGTCTCCAAAAGTAGACTAGGAGCCAGAGCGTTCAGCTATCAAGCTCCTCTCCTGTGGAACCAGGTTCCAGTTTGGGTTCAGGAGGCAGACACCATCTCCACATTTAAGAGTAGGCTTAAGACTTTCCTCTTTGATAAAGCTTATAGTTAGGGCTTGCTCAGGTGAGTCCTGAACCATCCCTTAGTTATGCTGCTATAGGCCTAGACTGCCGGGGGATTTCCCATGATGCACTGAGCTCCTCTCTCCTCTACTTTCTCTCCCTCTGTATGCAACCTTATCCCATTATTGCATGTTACTAACACAACTTCTCCCCTTTCTGGTAGTCTTGTGCTTTCTCGTCCCTCTCCTCTCTCCTCCTATCACTTCCTGCAGGTTTTCTGGCTCTGGAGCTGTGGAGTCTGGATCTGTGGCTGCAAGTCACCTGCTGCCCCCGTGTTCCTGCTCGACACCCTCTGCTGCAACGACTATTGGTATTAGTCTTATTGTTATTATTGTTATTATAATCATTAACATTACGATGGTTACCATTAACACTATTATAAATATCTGTACCATTTTTCATTCAGTCTATAGCAACATCACCTTTACTGTCTGTACCTCTGTGTGTGTATATTGTGTAGGCTGCCTCCCTCCCCTCTCTCTCTCCTTACATCCCTCTCTTTTTCTCTCTGTTCCTCTCCTGCTCTCTCTCTCTCTCTCCCTCTCTCTCCTTCACCCCAACCGGTCGAGGCAGATGGCCGCCCACCCTGAGTCATGGTTCTGCTCGAGGTTTCTGCCTCTTAAAAGGAAGTTTTTCCTTTCCTTGTCGCCTAGTGCTGCTCTTGGTGGGAACTGTTGGGCTTCTATAAATAGCATCACAGAGTACGGTCTAGACCTGCTCTTTTATGAAAAGCGCTGTGAGATAACTGTTGTTGTGATTTGGCGCTATATAAATAAAATTGAATTGAAGAGCCACATATTAAAAAGAAGCAAAATTCCCATAAGACATCTTTTTGCATTGGAGGAAGTCATTAAACAAAATGGCAACTCCACCTCCTCTCTTATGCACTCTAGCTTCACTCATAAAACTGAAGTTGGGAGGGGTAGACTCGATATGTCCTTATCGAGTCTACCCCTCCCAACTTCAGCTGCACTGTTATCTTGGTCCAACCAAGTTTCAGTTAAAAACATGAAATTAAGATTGTGAGTGATTATAAAATCATTGATTAAAAATGTTTTTCCTGCTAAAGACCTAACGTTTAACAAAGCTAATTTTAGTGTGTTACAAACATAATCTGGCCCAATTTTTCCGACTGGCTGCAGCTGACGAGGAATTAATACTAAATTTGCAGGATATGTTGAGTGCTCTGCGATGGACTGGCGACCTGTCCAGGGTGTACCCCGCCTTGTGCCCGATGTCAGCTGGGATTGGCTCCAGCCCCCCCTGTACGCAGGATAAGCGGTTGACGATGGATGGATGTTGAGTGCTTCCTGTTTCTTAACACATTCACCATGCTTTTTCTGTTACCTATCAAGACAGGTGTTGCACACTTAGACACAAAAGGGACTTCCAGGCGTGCATAAGTTTACAATAACTTAATACAGAAACACAAGCACATCAGCAGAACGTTGTCTCTACGTACAGTGGGCTGTTTACGTCTACTGACTGACGTTATCAACATTCATATTCCCTCTTTAACTCGCATCACATAAAATGTCCACATTCACGAACACACACTGAGAATGCTGTGCACACACAGCAAATATTTAGCAGGCTACAGGTAGCTAAATTACTGTTGTCCTCATTAGCATACTTGGTGATGTAGGCTATTCGTTAACACAACATGCCGTCTCATTTAACTAGCAAAACTACGATATACATCTCATGTCCGCATTACCGACAATCCGTTATCGTCTTAAACATTCATTATGCGTCTGAGTAACCACATTTTACCTCTTTTCATCACTTTTGCTCACCTGTAAATACAAAAACACAAGCACATCAGCAGAAAGTTGTCTCTACGTACAGCAGGCTGTTTACGTCTACTGACTGACGTGTGTGCCCTCCTGTCTAACCCGAAGGACCCCACACGCTGCCCTAAGTGCCTGTGTGAGCCTTACACATTATACCCATAAACTGACCTACTAAAATATTACAGTTGTTATTGTACAATAGCACATACATCAGATTACTAAAGCAAAATCAAAACAATTAAAATACTACATTAGAATGGGGGGTGCCCACTGTTATGTCCATCAACATGCCCAACAGAGTCCATTAATAAGGCCAACATTACTGTGGGTCCCAC